TGCGCTCTTAACAACAAGGCTGCCTGTTTGATTCCCGCATGGGATGGTGGCTATGCCCACCTGCAACTAAGATTGAACACAGCACCTTGAGTTTAGAGGCCACAAGCTGCCAACGGGAAGACAGATGGTGACAGGCGCCCTCCAGAACAAAGACTCAAGAACAACAACTTGACTGGTCCCCTTCCCCAATTCCCCAACACTGTTCCCCTCTCCCAATTTCCCAATAAAATCTTTAAAAAATAAATAATAATAGTAGCAGCTAATTATTTAAAAAAATTTTTTTCAAATCTGAACCGAATCAAGCTTCTAGATGTAACTACTAATTTACAGGAAAAACAGAGGACAGAGAAACCACAGGGATACAATCTAGACTGAGAAATCTCACAGGTCAAAGACCTGGTTTGTGTAACAAACCAATTATATGGGAACAAGAACAAAAAGATAGATAGCAACTTATTGCGGGGGTCAAGGGAGGATGGAGACATATACCCAATGTAATATATGGACCATATTTGGATCCTAATTCAAATAAAGTATTAAAACAAAGCAAAAACTGTAATCAAGGAAATCTGAACACTGAATGATATTAAGGAATTAGTGTTAATTTTTTTAAGTGAAATTTTAGGTTGGTTTATTGTTTTAATCCTTATTTTTTTAGATATACAATGAAACAGTGTAACACAATCTTAACTTTACCAGTGTGTCTTCCCTGATATATTGTGCTCCATGTTACCCAGCAGGCTATAGCCCCAGATTTAGTTGCCTAACAAATAGTTAAGAGAGATACAAAATGATACAGGAATTTAAAGGAGGATACAACTGGAGTAGGGTAACGAATGAAGCAAAACTTTAGGAAGGCAATGGTACTTGCGCTGGGCCTCAAAAGATGGCAAAATTTTAACAGGTAGGGAACAAGAGAAAAAAAAATGAGATTCCTGATGGAAGTAATGAAAACAATTGCAAAGAGTTGAGAAGACCTGTCTATGCAGAGTATTGGCCTGTACTCACCTCTCCATAAAACTGTTCCTTACTCTAATGATGACATGAAAAGGAAAACACTAAGTGAGAAGTCATAATCCACTAGGCAGCTGCAAATTGACAAAATCATGAAAGACCCACTCAGGCCCCCCAAGCAGCCCTAGGGAGCCCAGTCCCAGGACAGATCATGACAATATCTGTGTAGCCAAACCATACTGAATTTCTAGGACAATCTATTCATGTCAATCTCTGATTTATTCCCCCAGACACGCACTTTGGGAAAAGAATGCACGAAGGTCTTTAACCTATCCTTTGAAATGATCAAAATAATTAGTTTAAAACAGTACATATTAGTAAACTTTGTCTACCTGCCTAAAAGCCACCAACATGGTTCATTATATACTCCAAGAATGATAAAGTTACATGAAATACCTTTCCTCAGGTTACAAATTTTTAATAAAGTATAGCTGATGAAGTAGGTAGATTTTAAATAAGGTTTTTCCTTAAAAAATACATCCCAATATTAAAACATTTTTATAATATTTTGGAAATGAATTCAGTGGTTCTAACATTTTCTATGTGCCAGCATCACTAAAATTCTGAGGATATGATGCCAGTGAAAATGAACATCAAGACAAATAGGAATGCACATGATCAGCCAAAACCCAGTAACTGGAATGTTTATTACTGCCTTCTTCCATGTACTCAAGTATCACTTCAAATAACCAAGATGAGGGGGTGTAGGGAGTTACTACAAGTAGGGATACTTTTCTTAAACCAAGGAAAAAGCAGCAAGGTAACAGGTCAGATTGGCTTTAAGAAGTCTTTAGTCACTGATTACACCTTATTTCACAATAACCGAGACTGGCATACACCCTCTCAGAAATCAAATATAATCATTCCAATTTATTAGAAGAAATGAAAGAAAAAATGAATAAAACATAAGGATTGGGGGTTCAAAAGCTGGGAAAACTTTATAAAGTTTTTATAATAAAATACCTGTGGAATAGAGCTAAAATAAAAAATAATATGTAAGTCATCAATTTTTATAATACACACTGCACTTCTGTGTCATTGTCCAGGTGTGTGTTCAATACTTAAAAATGCTTCTTTGATTTTATGAAAATACAAAGAGAGGGCCTCATATATTTTGGACTCCATTCTAAACCAGTAGATGGCCACAAAGGAGGAAATATCTGTTTTCTTTGTTCCTCATAAAACCATGACATTTACCTTAACTCTTCAAAAAAGGTAAGATACACAACTTCTAAAAGGCTTCATCTTCTGTAGCTGATAGTCACTTTTTCCTCTTCAAATACTGATCACTTGCTCATACAACCGTCTTTAGATTACCCTTTTGTGGAATCTTAGGTTGGATATCACATTCAAATTCAAGCTAGTAATTGTATAAAATACTGGGGAGGATACAGAGACGTATAAATACAGTTCTTGCTCTGAAGACCCTACAACAGGCCTATGAGAAAATTACAACGCCAAGGAAAGGATCAACTGTTACAAAGCAGAAAGTATCAACTCCAGAGCAGAGAATGCATGTCATCTGACAAGTATAAAGTGAATCTGAATGAAAATATTCCTATGTTTAATAACTCTTAATTACACAGCTTCACCAAAGCACTGCAATCACCTTTACACCCCAAAATTGTAGACCACTTTCCAAGTAACACAGCTAAGCTCCACCCACCCACCCTTTTTTTTTTAACCAAACAGTAAAGAAAGGTTGGGTCATTCACAGACATCCTATCTTGTCCTCACTTGACACAAAATTTTGAAGTAAAATTTGCCTACTGTTCCTGTAGGGCTAACAAAAAAGTCATCAGCCTGCAAGCCACCACAAACGAAATGAAACTGCTGGTATTAAAAAAATAAAAATAAATTTGACTGCTTCCAGGTAAGTTAACTTTAAAACATAATTAAAAACAACTTCCTGAAAAAAAATTTTTTTAAGTTTTGGAGACTGAACAACGCAGTGATAAATAAGAGAAAATAAACCTGAGAAATTTAAAGAAGCCAGCTTTGTTAAAAACCTAGTGGCCACTTGCCAACACTCCTTAATGAACATATGACCAAAGACAATTCCAGGCAGATTCACAAGTCAGAAAGGCTCTTTATCAAATGCCAAATTAAGAAAGTTCTCATAAATATTTCAATTTTGATAAGTTAAAGGACAGTTAAATAAAAGAAGCACTTTACAAAGCTTTGCAGAATCAATATAGAAACAAAGCTCTGAGGTTCTAACATCTGAACCCTCAAAAACAACACACATTTTAAACGTCACCTTTACAAACATCCAACTCACACAGGCACCCATCGCTTAGATTCTGTCAAGAAAAATGCCAGTCACTGGGAAAGGGGCTGGCCTGAGTTTAAAATCTATGGCCAACAAGAAAGAAATCGCACAATTCTTAACTGCAACTGAATACAAGAAGCTGAAATCAAACTCTTCGTCTTAGTTTGAACTCCATACGCAAGCACTTCACATCTGTCCTTTCAACTTGTTATAAATGATATCGTTTGTGAAGTAAACGGCAATAAGGATACTCTTCGAACTCCTATATGCTACGATCCATCCTCAGAGTGGAAGGAACAGCAAAGTGGAAGGAACAAAGCACTGACGTCAATTACGAGATTAACCCCGGGCTCAGGCAGCTGGAGGAAAGGCCTAAACATCAATGTCCAAATACTAGCCACCAGGGTAATCAGCTAATAGGCTGACTCAGAACTTACGGGGGGGATTCAAGTATTACGCCCCCACATTCCCATTTTTAGTTAACCCCCTTCGCTGGTGGAAGGCGGAATATTTTTCCTTTTTTTTTTTTTTTCTTGCAGAGAAGGAGGGGCGGGTGACCGTGAGCAGGATCGCGAGAAGGAAAGCGAGAACTAGTTGGGTAATGATAGCCAGAATCTAGGCCTATTTTCTCTTTAACTAGAAATAACTTGAAATTGGGTATTAAAAAGTAACAAGACAGTCGACGGAATCTCTGAGGGAAGAAATAGATTAAGGAACGGAAGGGGGAAGGAGAAACGGCGAAAAGATGGATTTCTGGAAATTTTTGTTAGGCTTGGGTTAGCTCATTTATTTATTTATTTGGGGGTGGAACGCGAAGATGAGGGGCGAAGGCACACTGCGCAGCTCCGGCCCGGAGGGTCCCACCGAGCCCGCGGGCGGGCCCCGGAGGTCTCGAAAAGCGCAGGCAGCGGCGGCGGCGACGCACCTCACACGGAACAGGCGGAGGTCCCGCCCCGCTCCATGACGGTCTGG